AAAAAAAAAAAAAAAAAAAAAAAAAAAAAAAAAAAAAAACGCCACAATACAGATTTGTGGCGTTCCTGCGGCTGAATTCAAAATCATTTTTGTTACCAACTTCATGAAATATATTTGTAACCATTTTCACACATTTCATTTATTGATTTAACACTTTACATAACAACACATAAAACATACGACAAATTATGTAACATCCATTCGTTCGTTCATTGACCATCAATCTGTACACATCTCACTCGTGAATTAAATATTTTATTACTAATTAAATATTTTATTAGTAAAAAGGAAAGTCTAGTGATTTAACTATAACGCTACCACAGATTTTGAGTCAGTGGCGCTATCAGTCGTTAAACACGAGTACTTATCATACAGCCCTCGTATATGACCAAAACTTTTCAAAAATAGATAGGAGCAGAATACTTTAACGCTCGTTGTAACAATATTGAGCTGTTGATAGACGTCTAGACCCGCTCTAAACTGCGCGTTTGTTTCTGCAATCGTCTGTTTAATAGTAAGCACAATAAGTAAACAGAGGATGACTGTCGGTTGCGCATAATTATTAAATTTTAAATTTTTAAGACGTGCAAACATATTAAACCAACTAAAATTATGTGTAATACGTACAGTTCGGTAAGAACACGTTATCAAATTCCCAAGTATGCAAATGACATAAGTTTCTTTTATGAAGGTCGTGTCGTAACCGATTTCTTAATATTAAAAGATAAAACAAGTAAAGTAGAACAGAAAATATTGAGAAAGAGCTGACTAAAGCAAAGCATTAGAATCAGGGAAAGAGCCCAAGGAAAAGTAATTAAGAAAGAATAAAAAAGTATTAATAAAATGAAAGTAAGACACGGTCAAGTTCTCGGAAGCTGAGTAAGCAGCTGACGAGACAGCTGACGAGCGGAGCACGAGACATGCTCCGGTCAGGGACACCACACTCCTCCCTAATCAACGACCTAATTTATTAAGATATATAATAAGCGCGAGAAGCACCGACGCTCGTTACTCGCTCACTACTCGCTCGCATATATCGATAGTATCGAAGTACCGTACGTATCGCGCCCGACTATTATAATCGCGAATAAGTAAAAGTGTACAAAAACCTGTGAAAAATATCAACTTCTACCTAACGTCCGGGAGTGTCTTATTTCGAGCGTGGATCCTAATCCTTTGGGCGTATAAATCCCTAAAGACCTCTTCCTTAGCGGCTAGAGGCACAACAATCGTGAAAAAATTGCAAATTTGCCTGATGCGCGTCGACCAAGGACGAATATTACGCCTAAGATTAATCAACAAATTCGTCATTATTGAAGACAACCGACGAATAACTGCTCGTGAAATTTGTAAAGGAACTGACTTAAATTATGGAAATGTGCAAACAATCATTGAAAATGAGATACAATTTTAAAAAATCACACGATGGATGCTTCCAATTTTGAATGCGTCAAATTAAAGGGTTGTAAAGACTGAAATCTATCAGAAGCTTTTGGATCGCCATACAGCAAAAGGAGACGTATTTTTTATGCGCATTGTCACATATGATGGATTTGTTTGGACCTCTTTAAAAAGAAAAAAAAATCTACTTGTGCAGTAGCAAAAACATGTAAACATTAGTAGATGTTATGTGAAAAATAATTCTGTGTTAGTTTTCATGTGTATTAATCGAATAAATATTTCTTTTATTAAGTCTCGTTTATCTTGAATGCACCCAAGTAGCAATAATTGATCTTTTAGTACTTATTCCACACCCCGAATTCCTTCGTAGAACTGTGAAAATAAAAAAATTAAAAAAAAATTAGCAAATTGGTCTCGCGCAAATGGATCGATCTTTTTTAATTAATTTCTCAATAATTATTACAAAAATCGCAAAATGATACAGAACTTCTTTTCAATTTGACCCAATCTACTTCCACCTTTCGTTTGGTCACTTACTTGTCGGACAACCTGTATATATATATTGTCTATAATTTGTAAGAACTCTCCTTAGCCAATTTTTTTTTTTTTTTTGGCTATATAGATACAGCCCAGACAGCACAAGGATGTCCTTAGGACGTCCAAAGGGCATCCAGGACATACATGTAGGATATCCTGAGGATATCCTATTTTAATCCTCGGATCTCCTCTGGATGTCCTGAGAAAAAGTAAATGATAGCCGAATACTAGCCTCTGGAGAATCCAGGGAGATCCTGTGGAACATCCCAAGGATTTGTATGGGATATGTTAGGGATATTTTTCGTACGTTTTAGGGAGCAAATTTTGAAAATTGCGTCCTGTTATTTATTGCCAGTACTGAAAATGTAATACTGAAAATAGTTTACGTTTTTTGATATTTGAGACTTTCGTAGTCTACATAAATATTAGGTTTGGCTTTCGGGTTTGAACCGTGTAATATTTTCTAAACAATACAGTAAACGCTAGATATTCTTGGAATATTTATAAAATGTTCCTACGATCCAAAATTAACATCCGAAGAATATTCCAAAACATTCCGGAATATTTACAGAATGTACAAGGAATATTCAGATAAGCGCGAAATGTTCCATTTTTTATCCATATTTTGAATATTCCAAAAATATTCTTTGGACATGCTTGAATAACATTCAGAACATATCCCATGTATATTCCATCATATATTCAGAGTGATATATCCCAGATAGCACATAAGACTAAAAGATAACGAGAAGATATCTTTTTTAAGTTATCTTTTCGTCAAAGCTAAAAGATGTCTTACAGACATCTTTTCGTCTTGGCGAGAAGGATAACATAAAAAAGATGACGAAAAGATATCTTATACAGTAAAGATTATTTTAAGAAATTTTATAAATTATTTAGATAGTATTCATTTATGAATATGATTCATTTATTCAAAGATTATAAATATAAGGCAATATAAAATAAATTTGATACTTCTTCAAGATACGAACCATCGTACAGACAAATAACGTGTAATAGTCACGTAATGGCTGCGTTCAGTATACAAAAGATGCCACGAGACATTCGTCTCGCCCTGTAGTTAAGACTCTTCTTCTTTTTCTTATTTGTACGGCCTACGACCCCGACACTGAATACGAAACGCAAATAATACCGGCAATACCGGCATCAATTCCTCTCACATGCACGTGCTCAGTCAATCAGATCCTGATATGCATGCAATATGAGCTTACGCATGCGTGAACGCAAGAGTCAGCAAATCACAGACGTAGTCGCTGCGCGCGCAGGTAATGAGATGCGTGCGTACATCGGTTTTCATTAATGTCCGATAAGATTGATTCAAGAGGGTTCCATTAATATTCCATGAAATATTTTGTGTATGTTCCATACATATATCGAAATGTACACTGAATATTCCTTATTGCTCATACAAGTAGTGTTCATAGAATATTCTGAATATTTCACGATTATTTGAACGTTCTGTGAACATTTCTCTACTATTTCGGTATATACGGAACTTTTGGAATACGAATGGAATATTTCAGGAATATCAAGCGTTTACTGGGAATATCTGAATTCCCTATGTTGAGATTGCATCAGAAATTGAACTGATAGAAAATAATTACATTTTTAATTTCCTGCTAGTTGCTCTTTACAAGCTTTATATAATTCTCATGACCAAATCTCAAATACAAGATCGCGCGTCGCATAACGGTAAACAAACAAACTAGCGGCTGAATACTATTTTTTGTAACGTTTTTGAAATGTTGCGCACAGTAACATTTCTCATGAAATATTAAATAAATAATAATTTTAGATATATAAAAATGTGCGCATCAAATTAAATTATTAATATTAAACGAAATTAATGTTAACAATTAATTGCACATGGACATATACATATATGTCCTCTGGAAATCCAAAGGACATCCAATATAATAGACAGGGCAGATATCCTACAGACATCCAGGAGTTATCCAGTGGACATTTATAGGACATTAATACTTATTATAATACTTAAGATTTCTAAATTATATTAAATAGCCTACATAACTGAAAGTAATCATCTATGCATATTAAATTTTCATAAAATATATTTATAATTATATCTTAAAACATCCTACAAATGTCCTGAACCATCCTGGACATATTCAGGATGATCCTGAGGATGTTTTGTGCTGTCTGGGAGTATAGGAAAATCTGAAAGAATTGAACGATATATATAATCTATATTGCATATGTCACATTTTATTACAATTCGAGTGTCGTATGTACATAATTAAAACATGCCTTTACGGGAATTTGCAGAATTTGACAAATTTAATATATGTATAAATTATGCGCTATGATCTAAGATATACGAAAAACGAGTATATATAATACAAGATATCAGTTTTCATGTATAAATAATGCCATTATATACACGATTATGTCAACAATCCGTTTTGCATTCGAGTTATCAAAGTTGATTTTTTCTTTCGTTTTTTTTTTTACTAACGAAAATATGGTTCGTAGCTGAAGTTATTAAGTGCAACGTGTATGAAACATGTAAAGTTAATAGTGCGGTTTAAACGTGTCACATCTCGCTTATAATAAATATTGAGAAAACTTAGTTGAAAAGATCTAATTACCTTTCTGTAATATTACTCTTTTTCGATTATATTTATTTCTTTTTCGGGTATAGTGATGATGATTTTATGTACAAGACGATTGGAAAATTTTGTTTTATTATTGATTATTTATTGTTAATTTATTTATCTAATTCATGTAAAAGATATATTTTATTTAATGCGATTACAGATGCAGAGTTGTATCTGTTGAGAGAGTCACGTATAGACGTAACCCGTTCCACGCGATTTCTATGTGACGTATATAATTCTATTGTATTGCGAATGTACTAATACTATTGATTGTTTTTTTCGAGATATTTAACTTATAAGAATCCGAATATGTAAAGTATGTAAATATATATGTCGTATGAAACGTTGCCGAGATATTGATATAAAGAATTAGAACTATGCATTGTTTAATTGTATGGAATTAACCTAAATTAACCTAAATTAATTCAAATATATGCTTTGGTAGAAGCATAGTTATATAATTACTATCTATATAGTTGTATAATTGAATCAAATTTAAGGTTTCACATGGAAGTCGGTGACCAAAAATTCATTTCTCTTAATTCGGATGGTTTAGCTTCGAATATATTTACGTAAACCGGCGACTTATCCGCCGATTTTTCTTCTTTTCCTATATATGTAAGATTTTGCGAAGATATCGACTTTTTTCGATTAAGTGGCTTGCGTGGTTCCACGTCTGCGAAAGGTTCGTCTTCTTCTTCTATTTTTGCGGTAATCGTTTCTCTGGATTGACCTAATATGCTTGCCAAAATCCAATTACCCCGATATTTCTCTTTGTCTGGTACAAACGCGCCCGTGAAGTATCTGTTAGCGTGAATTTTTCTACGCGCTTTCGGTGAACTATCTGGAGTTCCTGTCGGCGATGTCAGTGGTGTTGCTGGTAATGACTTACTAACATTTTTTAATTGGCTATCCATCTGCTGAGATTGCGGATCTGACGCCAACATTTTAACAAATTTACCGGACATCATTTGATTTGCTACGTGAACGATTGATCTGCCGCAAAGAGCCGGTTCACCGTGAAAACCGTCGTCCGTTCCCTGCGATTTGGGTTTTATGCTTCCGCCTGCTTCTGGAATCTTCCGAGATTTAATATCATAGGCTAAAAAGCGATAATATAAAGAAAGACATCGATATTTAAAAGCATAATATTTCAGAGAAATAAAGATTTTAGTAATATATACTTTTACTGTTTATAATCGGTATAAACGGTTGGCATGGCAAAGGATGTTTGCTAAAATCAATCTCCTTGACTTTTTTTAAATCGGAAATGGATTTTTCATTCCCTATTTGATTTGTAGAACTCGTGATATTTTCATCCAAAGCCTCGGTTACGATATGTTTCAATCCTTGTTGCGATACTTCAGGATTTTGTGATTTTGAATATCTTATATAAAAGAAACTATCGTCGTAAGATGGTGGACTGAATGCAGCTTCGTCAAAGTCGAATCTAAAGAAAAAAAGTACAAGAAAAATTACTCTGACGCAAGATGTAATCTGATTAATTAGTATACAGCGCGTTAAAGATTATAGTGCTTGATTTGTGAACTGTACACTTCTTAATAATTTTAGTATTCTTTTATATTATCAAAAATTTAAAACATAAATTTTCTCTATATAACACATATGAACATCATTTATTGATGAAAAGTAACGAGAGAAAATATATTAATATTCACGTATAGAAAACTTCTTAATAATAATATAAATTTTCTATGCTAATTTTATGAAAGATAGTTTCTAATTAAATAGTTTTCAATCTTCAATAACATTTAATATATTCGTATATTCGTATAAGATCTGTACTTAAAAAACTACTTGACTGATATGTTCTTTCGAGAAAGTTTCTAGAAAGATGACAAAATTATTTTATGAATATGTGGATAATGACAAAGTTATTTGGAAATAAAACCTACCTATTATCTATTTTTCCTTTCATCCATTGTGGTAATGAAATTCCACTGCTGAGAGATCTGTCTTGTTGCCTTGGATTGTCCATTCTTGTACAATTTTGTAATTTTATAACCGGATAGCGAGCTTGAATTCTTTATGTTAATCAATAATATACAGATGCGCGAAATAACAGGCCAAAAATTTATATTTGAGCATTGTTATCCATAATATTAATCTTGCATTGTTGTATATTCATACGTAATATTACTGTTTATACAATTGTATAATTGAAAAAATTAATGACAACGGTGTGCCACTTTTAGGATTTGGACCAAGTTATCATTCGATTGATCTGCAATTTGGCAAATGTTTAGAATATGAAAAGATCTATTAATATACAATGAGGAGACACGTATAAAAAATATAATTCGATACTTACTTTCTTATTAAGATTTTGATGATTAGCTTCATAGTTACGATTCTTCTGGCTCTCTCTTTTGACAAAAATAGCAGTGAATTAACGTAGTATTAATAATCATAATGATTGACAAACAATCCCAAATGGCTTCTACACATCATTGCGACAAGTAGAGACAAGACGCTGTGTGGACGATGGATACGCTCCGTTTGATGCTACGAAAGTTTCGAAACATTTGATTGACCAATCGAAGCAAAGAAATCTTTGTTTTTTTCTTTTCGATTGGTCGATTAAATTATTCGAAATTTTCGTAGTATCAAACGGAACGCAATTTTAAGCCCGTGTCGGACTATACATTGAACATTGAGATGAAAGATTGAAGGTTGATAGTTGACCAATCGGAACAAAGATTTCTTTGTCCTGATCGGTCAATTAACCTCTATTCTATCCCACGGGTAGGATTTTTGAACGCATTCATTGATCTCGATAGACCAAGTTTTTATTGCGCATTGCGCATTGTGTTACTAATTCAAAGTGGCGACGGGCGACGGGTCATACGACTTGGAACAACTACATCAAAAGCGCTGACAACTCAAGTTCAGTATCACTACTATGTACATACTATATTTATATTGTGTGCGGTGTCGTCACATAGAGAGAAGGAGAGGGATATTTCTATCCTTTATTGAAAAAAGAATGTAGCATGTGTACACTCTCGCATGTATGCACGAACACACGCATACGGGCAATCTCTTCATCTCTCTCTCATACGTTGATTCAACATGGCAGAAATAGCAGTAAATCTGAGATCAGTCCGCGATAAAATATTATATGCTGCTACGAAAAGAGAATCGGTATCTTTCTTTATATTTAAGAGGTTTATACTATATTATTAAATATATATTTATTCAGAATTTTTAATAAATTTACGTTGCGAAACATATAAAGGACATTGCGATACGAAAATCAATCCCAAAATTAGATCATGCGAATTAAGAAAATATATATATATATATCATTTTTTCAAGGAACATCGATATTGTGAACCGCGACTTGTAGCCGTTAGCAAGTTGCAATCCGCGGAATCGATATTATCCGCCTACGAAGCCGGTCAAAGACATTTTGGTGAAAATTATGTAAATGAATTGGTGGAAAAAGCTTTAAACCCACAGATTCTTGAAAAATGCAAAGAAATTCAATGGCATTTCATAGGCAATTTACAAAGAAATAAAGTCAACAAAATTTTAAATGTACCAAATTTATATATCATAGAAACTGTTAGTAATGACAAACTCGCAGATGTGCTTAATAATTCATGGCCAAGATTTCGAAAAAGCGATGATAGCAAATTAAATGTTATGGTACAAGTTAACACGAGTCAAGAAAAGGGTAATTAAATATAATTATATTACATTCTGTATTTTATTGTGAGAAAATTATGTAAGATATAATTTTTTTTTTCTGCTTATTTACTTGCACATTATTTTGTACATCTATATAAAAATTGCTATTTTCTTTACAGAAAAAAATGGCTGCGATATTATACATGTATCAAGTCTTGTAAAGCATGTTATAAATAATTGCCATAATTTGAAATTCATGGGCTTTATGACAATAGGGATGTTTGGATATAATATTGCGAATGGTCCAAATCCAGATTTTGTCTGTTTGATGAAATGCAGAGAAAAGATAAGTGACGAATTGGGGATTGATATGAACAATATTGAATTATCAATGGGAATGTCTAACGACTATGAACATGCGGTGAGATATTTAAATGCAATCTACTTGTGAATAGTGCTGTTGATAAATTTTATACATCTTTATACACTCACATTAAATGCAATTTTCATTTTCTACTATAGATTGAACTTGGCAGCACAAATGTAAGAGTAGGAACGGCTATTTTTGGTGATAGACCACAAAAGAATACCTTGTAAAGAAATGATATAAGAATTATAATATTTTTCTTTTTTTGCTTATTTTAAGATAAAATAAAAATGATTATAGAAGTAAATGATGAACTGAATTTTACTAGTAATGAAATACATATTTGTATGTTTTATCTTCTGCAATGGATGATATTGTTGCATCTCATACGCAATGCGATATATTAAATTGTAATTACTATACCGAACAGATTGCAATATTTTTTTCTTTCAATGAATTTTAAAACATGCAAATCGCGAAAACATTTCTACAAAATTTTTGCATTTTGTAATATCGAGAAAAAGTATATAATATGTAATTTATCTCGATATGTAATCAACATATACATAGATATATATAATAGATGTATACATAAACATATACATATGTGAATCGCGTGTCGGATAGTATATAGCCGCGCGGCAATTATTATATTTTATTAAGGAATAATGCTATATATATATATATATATATATATATATATTTGGTGAGAACAAATTATTTTGCTATATATATATATATATATATATATATATATTTGGTGGGCACAAATTACGTTGTGTATGTATGTGCGTGTATGTATATACATGAAATAAAAAATTTTTATCTTGTATTTAAATGTAATATAAGTAATATGTATTTTTAATAAAAAATATATGTATAATATCTTATATTTATAATATATGCCGGAATATATATATATATATATATATATCCAAGTTTCAGTATGAGTTGAGCAAACTGTGTATGTGTCACAGTTATATCCTGGTCATATCATAATATCAACGGCCTCGCGCAGATATTATCAATTATTCATAACTAAATAGTTTAAAGACTATTGTTATATGATGAGAACATTTTTATGATATTCTTAATCGATACTTTCTCGATGTGTATACTAGGATCAAAGTTATAAATTCTTTTGTAGATTTTTATTAAATTGGCTTGTTTAATTTCTTTTTTTACATATTTCTCGATAATAATGTAATTATTAATTTTTAACATGAGGTAAGAACAAGGAGAATTCTAATATTAATAAATACTCGATAAAAGATTTTTCAGAGATTGAAATATATGTGTTTGGTTATCAAATAATATTATGTCTTTTTCTCTACAACTTTGAAATAATCAATTTTCTCTCTTTTGCGCAATTATAAAACTTATATATTTATAAATATTAATATTATAAAATAATTGAAAAATTAAATTTACTCTTAATTTATTGATGTATGAAAAAATTAAGATAAATATAAGATAAAAGGGCGTGGTCCAGTTCCAATCTTTAGCCGTACATTATGTACATATGTAGGTCACCTTCATCGTTTTTCTTTCTTTTTTTCTTTTACAAGAACATGGTTCACAAATGTATCTTGTGCAAGGTCAAGAATTGCGTAAGTTACCGCTCTCGATAAGTTAAAGAAAAGTGAAAGAAATTTTTTTTTTCCTCGCAAATTTATACGTTGTTCGTCAATTATTAATTGATCGACATTTATTATAGCAAATGTTTTGCGCAAAAGCGTATAAAAATGATTAACGCTAAGAAAGTTTAATGAAAACATTTTTATAGAAACATATGTGTTGCAATTTCTGTTCCTTGAAATGATTATTTTTAATTCTACAGGATACATTCCCATCGTTTAAAATTAAAATGTCAGGCATACCTTTAAATATTGTTCACATATATTTTTTAATATTCATAGCTTCGCAAGAGGTAATACACATTACATTAACGTGATGCAATAACATCTTACTATGAGTATAGCGTCCGCTACCATGCATGCACATACAAATACTAAGTTTTTGGAAAAAAATGCACCAAAAGTATACTAGACAAGTTTGCGCTGCAGCACGCGTATAAATAGGCTGTTACATTTACACAGAGCATTCAATTCGTTCCTCGTATTTGAACAAGAAATAGAAAAACAGGACAACATCATATTCAAAGTAAGTATATCTTCGGAGCGGATAAAAGTCTGTTTAAGATTATTTATTATTGCATAATACATATATACATACGTGTATAAGTCGTCATTACATTTCATCATCTTTATTACAATCAATATAAATTATGTTGTAGCAGTCGTATAAGTCGTCATTACATTTCATCATCTTTATTACAATCAATATAAATTATGTTGTAGCAGTCGTATAAGTCGTCATTACATTTCATCATCTTTATTACAATCAATATAATCAATGTTGTAGCAGTCGTATAAGTCGTCATTACATTTCATCATCTTTATTACAATCAATATAAATTATGTTGTAGCATTTTTATCATTTTTATA